TGACAGCAGGGCTCACAGGAAGAGCAGCTGCTGTGTGGGGTACCTTACACCCTGACTCGGTGCCACAGTGTTATTTGAGTGTCAAGAAAAGGCATGAAGAACAACCTGAGACCTACAGTGGTGTAGGCGGTACATCCTAAAATCTTCATGAACGACTCATTCATAAATTCAATTACTCAACAGGTAGTGCCTGCTGTCAGAATACTGACCCTGGGGAAAGGACAGACACAGAATTGCACACGGCCTCTGCCGCCTTGCATGCCGCACAGCAGACTTTGCATGTAGGAAGAATGGAAAACGTGCTCTGATTGACTGTGGTTAAGAACATTCTTTTCTGAGTTCATTTACAGGCCAGTTTGCTTACTTACTATATCCTGACTCAAATTAAAAATCTTTGCCATTAATACATTAGAGGTGATGGGAGTAATTTACATGTGCTCTGTTGTTTGATAACACCTTTCAAAGTCACATCTGATTTCACATAGGAACACAGAGAACAGGGCCACTTTCTCTTCCTCTGATACTCTGTCTACGTAGCCATTGTACATGTTGTAGTCTGTAATGTTAATACTATCGAGATATATCAAAGTGTTACATTATTAATCATGATATTTATTCCCTTTCATGAGAAAAATACATAATGAAGAGTTGAGTGATGGTCTTCTAGAAGAAGAGTTCAGCACTGCTTTTCAGATATAATGGAATCACAATACTTTTTTTTTTTTTTTTTCTGGTCATAGGGCCTGAACTCTGGGCCTGGGCGCTGTCCCTCAGCTCTTCAGCTCAAGGCTAGTGCTCTATCACTTGAGCCACAGCGCCACTTACAGCTTTTTCTGTTTATGTGGTACTGAGGAATCGAACCCAGGGCCTCATGCATGTGAGGCAAACACTCTAACACTGAGCCACCTTCCCAGCCCTCAAGTTAAATCTGTTGTAAAAATAATCTTACCACCAAGTGCAATCCACTTAAATATGAGTTTTCAGAGCTGAAGGAGTTCAATGCAATTGGGTGAAACATTCACATAAATTAACATTATATGTCCTGCAAACTGATGGATGTCTCTCTTGGACCCTACAGCTCGTGACATCTCTATTAGAAGCTCAATGAGACATGTGTATTATGTGCTACAAATAAAAACACAGGCAGGAATCACAATTTATGTTCTTCTTTCTAAAACAGATGATTAACTAATGGAAACTGGAAGTACCCAACACTTTCCAAGCTAAGAAACTGATTGAGAACTTTTCAGGTTATCAATACCAATATTTCCATATTTCATTGGAAAGTAATTTTAATAGAAAGAAAGTGGAAGTTTCAGATACCACCCACAACAGAAACAAGCTTAGGATACTGCCTAGATTCATTATCTATCTTGGTGTTTATCTTCATGTGAACTTTACTTGTAACCTAAACCAGCACTTGTTTTTCTGCTAGTAAACTACTATAGTAGTAAGACTGACTGAGCTTGCTCATCCTTAATGAGGTTTTCAGGAAAACAGTCCACATACTAGAAGGTGACCAACTATATAAAGGTTACCAATTGAAACTAAAAGTTCAGATTTGGAAGGAAAACACAAAACAAAACAAACACATCCAGCAAGTAATGTATGTATGGATTCAATTTCCTTCTGAGAAACTACAACAAAAGTAAAATCTGAAAGTACATTTGACATTAAAATACTGACAAAAGAAACCATCTTGAAATTAAAACAATTACACATACATGAGAAAAGTCTAGGACATTTTCCTAGAGAAGCGTCATTCTTGAGCGGCTCCAAAACCTGCACTTGATGTGCCAACGCAGCACTTATATCCCCACCCTATGCTGCTGGTGAACAATGATGGGGGGGCTGGCACACACAGATGCACACACACATGCATACACACAGATGCACACATACACATGCATACACACAGGCGCACACATATACCACATACAGATGCATGTATGTAGAGACACATACCCACACACGTATGCATATATACACAAATGCACACATGTACACATATACAGACACGTGCACCCACAGCCTGGAAGTAACTCCACATTTGTAAGTGACAGCAATGTCTGTCTGTCTGTGTATATAATTGACGGTACACACTACATACAGTCTGCCTCTGGTTTGGGGTCACTTTAAAATGGTGCTATAGTTTATCCAGTTAAAAATAGACACAAATGCCAAGAACTACAGCTAAACCAAAACAACACTCCTGTTTTGTAGGAGCTCGGGCTGGAAGCCCTTGGAACAGCTCCTTTACCCATGGCAAAGGGAGAGGTCTGCAGGACCTGAAGAGGAAGAGGACCTGACGACCACGCTCCCTCTCCACAGCCCTCCGGTCAGTTCTGAACTCTCCCTGTGCGCTGCAGGGAGAAGGCAGCCCCCTCCTGCCAGGACTGGGTGGATGAGCAAAGCGGCATTAACGGCACTCCACACAGCCCAGCTCCACAACAGCCAGGTGTGGTCTTTCCCAGGTGTTCTTTCATTCATAAATGCCTCTTTGATGTAAAAATAGTGGCTAGAGCAAATGTTAAGCCAGGTGCCAGGACTCATGCCTATAATCCCAGCTACTCAGGAGGCTGAGATCTGAGGATCACGGTTCAAGGCCAGACCTGGCAAGAAAGTGCTTAAGATTCTAATCTACAATTTACCCAGCGAATATCTGGAAGTGGAGCTGTGGCTCAAATAGTAGAGTACCAGCCTCAAAGGAAAAAGCTACGGGATAGCACTGTGTTCAGGTCCCCTTCCTCCCTCCCCCCCCCCCGCCCCCACACACAAGAGGAGCTGGAGGAGGAAGAAAAGATAAGCAGACAATAAGCAGAGTGTGAGGTGAGACCTTCATGACTTATTTTGCTTTTTTCTGCCCTGGCCTCACGGAGGCAGGGAGGGTCCAACACAGCTGGGATGAGACTGTGTTGGGGTCCTCATGAAAACCTCTAGCTTTGTTTTTCTTTGATCCTCACTGAAAGTAAATCATTTCCACAGGGTGATAATGATTATGATGATCGGATCTGATTGGCTGTGAATGACATCACAGGAATATGATGGATTCCTGGTGCTCACTGAAGTCAGTGACACCTGCCTTTGATAAATACAGCAGTAGAAACTTATAGGACTGGATAAACTATCTTGCATTTGAAGATAATCTGATGCTAGAGGCCTTGAGAGCAGTAGGGGCCTTCTTTCCTCCTGCCCCGCTTAGTAGAGACCCAACTCAGTAGAGAAGTTCAAGAAAAATCAATCCGCCTCTTCCACACCATCAGAGAATAAACAAACACAGCATGCTGAATGGATTAGGGAGACATGATTGCATTTTTCTTCATAAATAAGACAAGCTCTCTCTTCTCTCTCCCCTCCCCCCATCTCTCTTCCCTTTCCCTCCTGTCGCCCCAGTGGTGATGATGCTACCTGGTGCGTTTCAACGTACCAGACACTCTCCATGGAATGATGACGAGACCCCTCGGTCTCCTGGCTCTCCTTTCCTTCAGTTCTGCACAGAGCTGTGTTCTCACTGCACCTTGTGTGGACAATGTCTTGCAAAGGCAGACAGCATGTCAGGTGTTGCTAGTAAAAGGACTGCTTACTTACTATCATGGAAACTCCGAAGTTTTGCCAGAATTCTATGGAAAATTCCAAAGGTTCTGTCTACACAAGAGTCACTCCTAAGCTTTCTGTCTTTGAGATAGCAATTGCTATAGAGCTATTATTTTTCTAATATGGGATTCCCAAATGAAACATGAAATCTTAAACTTGCATATCAGAAAGAAGAGCATTTGAGAGCTTTGTAAGTCAGGTGGACTTGAACTCACAGTCCTCCTGCCTCAGCCTCCTCAGTGCTGGGACAAATGTGTGCACCACCCAGGCTCCGTCAGAGTCACAGACTTGTGAAAATGTCTTCAAGGGCAAGGCTCTGGGCTTCAATGGCATTTTATAAATAGCAAATAATATTAAGAAATCAATTTGGAGTTCTTTTTCAAACTTCAGTCGTGTGGTTAAAAGACAAACACGGTAAGCCGTGTGCCAGATACAATGGCACACAATCTGGAAGGAAGATGACCAACAGTCACTTCCCGTGGGAGACAACCTGCAGAGCATGTGCATGTGTGTACACAGGGTGTGCGTGCACACCTACTGGGGACCAGACCTGAGGCGTCACACAGGCCAAGTACACACCCTTCTGCTGAGCTCAACCTTTAACTTAACGTGAAGTTTTGCAAAGTGCTTTCACTTGGTCTTGGTTTATTCTCTGTGTGCTAACGGGGTACTACAACTATACTTTCCTTCGCAGAGATTTATCCACGGCCAGACAGCAAATGCATGGCTCTCAGGGACCGGCGACCAGGGGTCCCGAGGCTATCAAGTGACAGAGGAGCCTACACCACCCAATCAAAATAATCTATTCCTCATCCTGAGGCAAGAGCCCAAGATCTTGTTGAAACCAGGATTATAACACGGAGTGACACAATGAATTTTTCAAATGAAAAGGTCTGCAGAAGAAATTAAAGGATAAGAAGACTTCAGTCAGAGAAAGAACCGGCAAAGACAATAATGCACCATTAAAGAAACTCCTGGGAGCCGAGTATGTGGTGGTCAAGGGCAGCTCTGGTCATCGCCAGTGCCATCAGCAACTCCCGGGCATCAGCCTCACACTCGCCTGGATGCCACTCCAGCCTCCAGGACCGCCTGGCAGCATCCGGGTCTCCCCACAGGAAGACGCACCACCACACCCCTGCCCTGCAGGCTCAGAACTGCCCATGCCTTGACACTGACCCGCACACTTACGCAGACACAGCATTGCTGGGAAAGCTTTATACCATGCTTCCCAGTATCTTTTCTGCCATGCACCTGCACTCCTCTCTGCCATACTGCCTAGTACTCTCTGCTATACTGCCTGCAGTCTTTCTCTCTCTACAACTTATAAAGCATTGGCCACCACCTTTGCAGACCAACTAGAAACTTCTCTTAATAAAGCCAGTCCGTGAGGATGAAGAGTTGCCTACCCTGAATGTCTCAAGCTGCTGATTGATGGCCTCTGTTTCCATGCCAACCGGACCCTGGGATTCCTCGTGCTCCTCCGCCTTCCGAAGCTGGTCAGAAAAGTCTCCCAGCTTGCTGTAGAACTGGCCCAGACGCTCGGTGGTCCCCGCCACCTGCTCCCCGCGGGCCTGCGTGCGATCCAGCAGCTTGTGGCACTGCTTGCTCAAGGCCTCCAAGTCCCTTTTGATTCCCACCAGGTCCGGAGTGGGTTCCTCCGAGGCCAGCATCATCTTGCAGGTTTTATTAGCATTGTCGTTGCTCACCATGAGGGCTTCCAGCTTCTTCAGAAAGGCTTGGATGGCCTCCTTTTGATTCTGCAGTGTGTCCATGTCTCTCCCCACGGGGGCCATACTGTCCAACTCATCATCACACTCTGCAAACTGGGAGAACATTTCTCGGATGGAATTCTGGAAGTGTCCGATGCCTTGAAGTTTGGTCTCTAGAAAAGAACACCTGTCTGCCACCTGCTGGCTCAGTGAGCTGTGCTCCTGGGCCAACGTCTCTGCCTGCAGTAAAACCTCCGCAGCACCATTTGCGTCCGTGGCCCCCACCACGAGGTCTTGGACAAGCCTTCTGGCCAGGTCCACCTGCTGCCCCACGGCCTGCAGTGACCTCTGCTGAGCCTGCAGCATGCTCAGATGCTTGCTGCTGTGAGCCTGGGGGCCTAGAGAGTCATGGACACTCAGCTGTTCCTTTGCACACTGCAGCTGCCTTTCAGCATCTCTGGAAACTTCCTGGAGCTCCTTCCACCTCTGGGCCATGTTCTCCAGGGAGGATTTCTTGTTGTGAAGCTGCTCGGTGACTAGGCGGACCTTCTGGACCATGGAGGTGCTCTCATCTTTAACAGTCTCCTTGTCCACCTCGCACACGCTGAGCAGACACTCCGCTGTGCTGCTCAAGAGCTCCACTGTACCGAAGTGCTGGTCCATTTCCTTCTGCAGAGATTTTAACTTAGCGAGAGAGTTCTCAGTGTCAGAGGGATCTAGTCGGAATGCCACTTGGTTCAGACTGTGCTGGCACGCCTCGATCCAGGGCTGCAAGGTCTCCAGATGCGCTCTGTACTTGAGAGCTTTCTCCAAAGCATCCTGTAACTTGCTCTCTCTTTCCCTGGCCTGCTGCTTGAGTCCATCCCAGGCGGTTTTAATGGTGTTGAGCTGCAGCTGTAAGGATGCCTTCTCGGCTCCTTGCGTTTTCAGTAGCAGATTCTCACCTTCTGCGATGGTTTTCTCATAAACAGTCGACTGTGCAGTCAAAGTTTGGCCAAAGTCTTTCTGATCTTTAATTAAGGACTCCAGGACATCAAGCTTAGCTGATATTGGGTGAAACTTGACTTGCTCTTCTTTCTTGGTATCCAGCCAAGTCTGGAAGTCTCTGGACATTTGTTGAAATTGATGAGAGCTTGCACAGGCTGACTGAAGGTGCTGGACGTGATTCTCTGAAATGGAGGAAAGTATAGATATGTTTGTTTTACATTAAGATGGAAATGCAATCTATAACAAGACAATTTTTTTTAAAAAAAAATCTCCAAGTGAGATCTGCCTCAGAATTTGGACAGGGTTATCTCAAAGTCAAGGCTTCTGGCACTGACTACATGAGCTGCAAGCAAACGAGTTATGGGCAGAGAAGAAAAGCAACCAGAGGCACATACAACAGTAAAGGATGACTGAGGCAGGAAGTAGAAGGCAGACAGGAGAGGAAAACAAAGAAAACAGGTAAAGATGCAGTCATATACACATGGCCTATTCCAGTGTCTTCTCTGGTCCAGAGCAGAGGAGAGAGAGTGGTAGTGTTCTGAGTTATGTTGATGAATAATCACCTCTTATCAAATATGACTTCTGGCTTCTGTAATTCTGGCAGTACTGAGGAGGTCTGATTATGCATTTGGTCTAGCAGCTCTGAAGAGATTAAGCCAGGCACTGCCCCAATCGTTTCTCTGTGCTACCCTAAGTTGCTTCTGGGTCCAGTAATTAGTCTGAAATGATTGCTGTAGTCAATAATAACAATTAAAAAGTCCAATCAGTAAAAAATATAAGTTGAGTATTTACTAGGCGCAAAGCCTAGAAACTACTGTTATTTTTCAGACAGAAAAAGCGCAGCAACTAATGTGTCCTCCTTCGGCAAGTCCTGCCGGCCACCCACTCCGCAGGCCTTGCTTGGCTCACGGGCTCCGCTACCTAGCAGCACTTCAGCCACAGCACTGCTGCACAGGTGAGAGGAGGACAGACACACAGAGTGACGCTGGTGCTGGTGGTGTCCCTTCCAGCACTACAGAGACATGGGCAGGAGGGCCTGAGTTCAAGGACAGCCTATGCTACACAGTGTATTCTAAGCCAGCCTGCGCTACTTAGCAAGACCCAATCTCAGTGACTTGCCTCTACAAAGAGAGAGAAATTCACACATTTTTCCAGAAGGTTTTTCTGTGATAGAATCAAATAGGTAAGAAAATGACACAAAGTCTCCTTAAGAACTACTTACCTATTTTTTCTGATGAAATAAAATATCAGGTAGGAAAAATATTAACTTAGAATCAGTTTGGAAGCTTGATGCTGGTGGCTCACGCCTGTAATCCTAGATACTCAGGAGACTGAGATCTGAGGATTGAGGTTCAAAGCCAGCCTGGGCAGGAAGTTTGTGGGACTCTTTTCTCCAATTAACTACCAGAAAACCAGAAGTGGAGCTAAAAGTGGTAGAGTGCTAACCTTGAGCAAAAAGCTCAGGGACAGCATCCAGCCCGGAGTTCAAGCCCCACAACTACAAAAAAAAAAAATCAATTTGGAAGAACCCAAATTTTAAATCTTAATGGGCCTTCATTAGGTGGATTTTGTCAAAGGCTATACTTCTCTGCCCTATGCAATCTGTCCTGGGCCTTCACGTGCCAGGCTCATCACAGACCTGTGCCGCCCCTCATGCAGCCTCTCTTCCACCTGGTACCCCCGGGGTCCAGGGTGGTCAGGAACTGTGCCCCATGAATGTGTAAAGAGCAGACAGACAAACCTGCTTTGTGCTCGATGTCATTGAATGACTTCACGACGCCCTCTAGCTGCCTGGTGAGCTCCGCTTTCAAGTACTCCTCTCTAACCAGTGCTGACAGGTCCTCGCTGAGTGCCCGGGCCGCTTTTATCTGCTTCCTTTCTTGCTCTATTTCCTGCTTCAGCTTTTGGGCCATTTCCAGCTGCTGGTTCACAGCGCCTGGATGGGCACTCACGGCTAGGCAGAACTGACTGTCCAGCTCGGCCAGCTTATCGGAAAGGCTTCGCAGCAGGCTCTGATACTGGGTGCTCTTCACAATGGCTTGGTCAATCCGATCACACCTGTCACTCAATTGTCCCGTCAGACCATCCCACTTCTGGGTCACAGTGGCCAGCTGCTCCTTCACCACACCATGTGAGGAGAGGTCCTCTCCAGGTCGGCTCAGGATGCCTTGCCCGGCAGCCACCAGCTGCTCATACTGAGGCCTCCGCGTGTCAAATTCTTGCAACAGGATCTAAGGAAATAAGGCAAACACGAACAAAATTATAGTATAATTTTACAAAACATGACTTTGAGCATCCAGGAGACAGAAATGGTACCTATTTAGAGGTTTTAATGTTTTTCTTTAAGTTAATACTTTCCTAAATTTAATTTAGCGGGCAGGGTAATTAGTGCTAAGTAAACTAATTCAAAGTGTTTCAAGATGACATCCTGTCTAAAATAATCACATTCTGCCACTGGAAATGAAAAAATAACAAGTATTCTGGGGATGCTGCTATTGGAAAGTTCATACTACACTAATGGCACATCTGCCTTTCTCTACTCGCAGGATGTATGAACTGTTTTTTTTTAGCATCCTGCATTAAAGAAATCTCGCAGTAATAACAGTGTTAGAACACACTGCACTCATGTACTGGTTTCTAAGGTTTTTAAAAGATAAAACTTTAAAAGTGGTAGGTGGAAAACATGTCACTCAGAATGCACCAATTTAACATGACTCTCATCAAAGAATTGAGCCAAGATTTCTTTAGTATATTTCATCTCTTTTTAAATGTTTACATCTACCTTGTATTTATCTACCTGTATCTGGTAGATTACTCTCATGAGTCAAATATTTCTCACCAGATATTTATTTTTCTCTCTTTGTTTTCATTCTCTTTAGATTATGAACAGATATGAACTAGTACATGTGACTCTAAACTCCTAGTACATGTGACTCTAAACTCCTAGTACATGTGACTCTAAACTCCTAGGCCTGACTCATCTTCATCAGCTGCAGAGCCTCCTTCCTTGTTCTGAGCACGTTGTTCACACTTAGTAACATCTAAAACCACAGCAAAGGCTTCTGCTGCTGTACTGTGCACAGGGTCTGCCCTGTGGAGTCCTCTTCCACCGCACAGGGTCTGCCCTGTGGAGTCCTCTTCCACCGCACAGGGTCTGCCCTGTGGAGGTCTCTGCCCTGAATCAAAACTCCTGTGTGGTCCCCTGTCCTTTATCCTCTTTCCATTCTGGCTCCTCCACAAGTTTTACACATTTCCCTATCTACTATCACCATCAAAATGAATAAAACCTCAAAGGGGTACTTTCCAAGCAATAAAAACCATGGACTAGCTTCTCATAAAAATACTCCTAAAGGATCACGTTAATACTTCAAAGATGGCCCACAATGTGAGCAACACACTGAGGCTGCCCCAAACGCAGGCTCCGGACCTTCCTCTGGGAAGCCTCATATTGCACCTCTCAGAAAGTCACAGCTTTGGGCATCCCAGGAACCATGTGTCTCAGGAGGACCTGAAGCATCCCAGGCATCCCCTAAGGCCATTAGAGCCACCTGGTCACAGCTTGAGGATTCATAATGGCAGTGTTTGCCCTGGTAAGGCTCAGCACTGCGCCTTGGTTGTTTGGATCATCCGTCAGGCACTGTTCTTGCGTGCTGTCCTTGCGTGCTCACCCGAGCCTGCTGGCTTTACGCGCAGTGCTCACCTGCACCTGCTGTCTTTGCGTGCTCAGCATGTTTGGGTCAGTTGACAAGGGTCCCAGGACATTGACCATCAGCTCCTTCTCCACAAGCCACTGTTTTAACTGGGTCTCTGCAGTCTGGAATTGGGTTAGATTATTGGAGGATTCTTCCAGCTTTTGCTGTCTATCAATTGTCAACTGGTTGAGTTCTTGCCACTTGGAATCTTAAAGAAAAGGGTAACATTGGTATGTGGTTTTTTTATACATTTAATACAACTATAGCAAAGGATCTGAATCCAACTTTAGAAGACTATGAGGCATTCGTTAAAGTAAACAAGACACTGAGATCTCTTAATTCCTTTTACAAGTCCTAGAATATCTTATTCAAATTCTACAACAATCTGATCTTTGATTCCTGTTCTTTAGTATCAAATCTTTATCTATTTCAAAGCAACTGGCCTCCAAATCTGAATATTTATCTCAGTAATTCTCCTCCATTCAAATCATACATTGACAACCAGTTGTTTGGGCTAAGGTGTGGCTGACCTAGTAGAGAGCCTGCTTGGAAAGCAGAAGGCCCAGAGTTCAAATCCCAGTATTGTGAAAAAAAAAATGACTGTTGGAAAGGTAGTTGGAGATCTTGCTGATGAAGTGTCAGTCTTTAAGGTCTTTTAAAGGTTATATTCTCTCTCATGTCACTGAGATGCAGTCATTCAAGATTCATTATTTATATAACTCTCTCAGCTCTCCTATCTACTTGATTCCAAAAACCACGATGATAATGAAACTCAGAAAAGAAAATAAGCATTACTGGACATGGTGTTACTCAGGGCCTACTATTTTGTTAGCAGGCTCCCACCATCTCTAAAAATTCATCTCTTATTTGGCATCTCTCTAAAATGCCAATTATCAGAGCAATACAATTTGAAATATGTAAAATACAGTTTCTAAAACATTAAAGAAAATCCTAAAATGAGTGAATCTGTTGGATATTTTCTGAGAAAGATTACACTAGTAAGGAAAATGAAGCAGGCTCTGATCTCAGCCTTGGTGAGCGGCAGCACCTACCTATCTCCGTCAGCATGCGCTTCCACTTGGGGGCCTCTGGAGACTCAGGACTCTCCTCCACTAGCTCTGTCAGTCTGTCTTTCAATTCCTGAACCTTGTTTACATTTTGCTTCAGTTCTGCTTCAAATGACTAGAAAAAAATTATCTACATTAAAGTATGCCAACATCAAAAGACCAACCAGTATGGTAGCTTACTGTTTACTAGCATAACCAGAGAAGAAGGAATCCGTGGTTTAAGTCAAGCATGAGGGTTAGAACGCCTCACTTCTTCTTCTCCCTGTGTCTTCCACTCCGGGACAGAGGACCCCCCACACAGGAAAGCTACAACCATGGCACCATAATGTCTCTATCACATGGGAAGAATTACAGATTCTCACATAAGACACACGGAAACCCTAGATGACATCAGTAAAATTGTCATCAGTCAGAAATTCAGCCTAGAAAGGCCACCCCAGTCTACTGGCAAAAAGTCACTGTTGAGGAAAGCACCCTTCAGAGCTCAGGCAAAGGGCCACAATGTGTATAAAAAATTTCCATCATTACTGGCATGGAAACCTATTTTCCCAATCACAATGACTCTAAGGAAGAAAGGAAAAGCATGCGCTGCTTTCTCTAATACACTCAACCCTCAACTAAATCTTTTCCAACAGTGGGTGGGCTAATACCCCAGATTGACTGATTTAAGGTGACAATTTAAGGTGACCCAACAGTCTGTTCCTTCTTACAATGTCAGAGTGCAGAAACCGCAACTGTTACCATTCATCTCTAAGTACAGCACATTAAATAAAACTGCCAGGTTGTGTGCGGAAGGGAGGAACACAGCACAGAGTTGTGGACCCCCAGAACTTCTGGTGTCCATCACTGTCCTCCAGTCTCCCCATGTGTGCTGTAGGACCCACCTTGTTCTGCTCAACCTGAGTCTTCACACCTTCCACGTCGGTAGGTGTTGGTGTCTGGTGCCATTTTGTGGCAGTTTTATTCATTTTCTGTAACCACTGCATCATTGTGCTTGATTCTTCCTGAGCCCGCTGCAATCTGGAGAGTTTAGAGCTCAGTTCTGCCAGCCTGTCCTTGAGTAAGAGGCCAAGGTCTTCATAGCCATGGCTTATGTCAGTCATGTCCTTTTTAATGGATGTTAAAGCTGTAAGAAAAAAGTACAATGACATGATCAAGCATCTGGAGTAGAGATCTAGAAATAAAAGTTTTAAATGATTTTCCCTTGCATTTGCCATTATTAAGTCAACAATGAAAAACCAGAGATGGCTTAGAACCAAAAGGTTAGATGGCCCTAGTGTTATTTAGTGACAACAAATACCTCAGAGACACTTCATAACACAATTGAGATAAAAGAGGCATTTTTTATGGAATAAAATTGTCAAATGAGAAATCTATAATTCTTCAGTTACCAAACTCAATGTATTAGTGCAAACGTTATCCCAAGTGACAAAATATCTAACATTAGGCAAAAGGAAGGAAATAAAATGAAAGGCCCAACTTCATTACTGATCTCATGAAGATATGGACAATGTTCACAGAAGATTATACAAATATCTTTATGGCCATTGTAACTATCCAATTAAAAGCCACTTTAATTCATGTGAAATTTCAATATAACTACTATTATCTCCTCAGGATTTCTCTCTCAAAAAGTAACAAGTAAAAAGTTACATTAATAAACAACCATGTAAAATTAACATTCACCTTTATTTGCCAAAAAATCTTGGGTGTTTGAATCTGTTCCTTCACCATTCAATATTAATCCACCTGTAAAAATAGTAATAGTTAAGCAATCATAGTTTCCTCTAGTATTTCTATGCATTAATAGTAGATGGTGCTGAACAAAAACTCATAGCAGTAATCATTTTTAAATGTAACTTAATTACTCAACTTCAAAAGCAAAGGAAGATCCAAAATTTAAATATCAAACTGTACCCTCTTCTCTATAAACTTATATATATAATATGTATATATGTGATTATGGAAAATATATGTCTGTTGTAAAGGTATGTATTTATAGTTTTTTTTCATTGTTGAGGCTGTAACCCATGGCCTTACAGAAAAAGCATGCACTGTAACACTGAGCCATACCTCCAATCCTGTGTAACTTATTAAGGTAGTGAAATTATCAACCACTAAAATTACAAAAATTAGTTGTTACATGTGAACTTACAAGAAGTGTGGTAAAGTTATTTTATAGCTGAAGTTATGTTCACGGTAAAACTACCAAAGTTCAGAAGTATGTAACACTGCTGAACAAGCCACCGACTGACCGGAGAAGGTCAGCCTCACATCAAGATGGAGACTGTGTGATGTGCCTTCAGTGTTTTCACAGGCTGAATGGAGGCCAAGCAATGTCAAGGATGTGACAGACAAGTGCAACGTAGAAGCAAAAGGAACGCAGCTCCCTCAGTCCAGCCACGAGGGCGGGGGAGGTGGGGAGTGGGGGGGGGTGCCCTGGGACTGCCAGTGTGACTCAGCTGCTTTAATCCTAGGCCATGACCCACTGTGGGACTGGACAATCATTCAAACCAGTACCAATCAACTCCTGACTTTTGAGACCCTGGTGGGAGGGAGCTAAAGACGCTCAGCAAACACAGAGGACGTCTAACTCTAAGCAACTGCACTCCTTTCCCACATCAGAACATTTAAAGTTCAGCTAGGCTTCCTCAGACCCACCTGGGGGCACATCACAAGGCACATCACAAAGACATTTCTTAAATGGACATGGGAGAACAAAACTAAACAGAAACATTATAACAGCTGAGTCTTAAGTGATGCCTCATTAAAGAAATCCCAGTGTGGCTTCAGGTGGGGCCCAGGGTCCTGTGGATGCCCCACCCCATACCTACCACAGCTGGCAGCTACCAGGAGCCAGGCATTCTTGTTTACTACAAATGTAAGAGGGGCAAAAACTACAATATGTAAAACATGACAGAATTCCTTTTCTAAAAAAAAAAGAAAGAAATATGTCATTTCGGGAAATCTGTTTGGGAGAGAGAAAGGGAGCATCACTGCAGACACTGGGCATTCCTTGAAATGGGGTTAACAGAGTGGAAAAAGTGGTTGAATGACAAAGCCAGCTGGACCAGGGGCCCATGGTAGGGCCGGACGGCCAGAGGCCTGGTGGGAGTAGATAAACCACAGAGGGAGCTCAGAGACTCTCAGAACAAAGATGGGAGCTCTGCCTTTAGTCTACACTGGTGTAGACTAAAGAGATCTTCATACCCTATGTTTGAAACTAAAAAAACTACACCTGTGCCTTCACACTACAGTTGGTATCAATAGTGCCTCCCCGGAGCAGAGGGGGCTGCAGGCAGCCTGCTGACCTGCTACGCACTCCCTTCTTTGGGAAGAATGTGCAGAACAGAGTAAATGTGACTAAAACAAGAAAGAAGAGCCCTTTTCTTCCAAGTTCTTTTCCAGGAGACTACTACACTCACTTCTTTATCAACAACTATAATGAGAAAAGAAGTACTTCCAACAGAATTTCAATGAAAAAGCCAAAAAATATGGACACTTTTCCATTATCACACTCCTTATTCATATTCGCATATTCATGTAGATATGGTTTATGTGTAGTATTTCATAAATGAAGCACGAAGAGGGATCGGCATTGGAGTGGGACATACACTTTCCCTGAGGGTTTGCACTGTGTTTAGGGACACCATTTTCTCCTCACTTCCCCCGTGCTCTTGAGGCTACCGTATGCGTTGACTTGAAAACTACACAGGTAATAAGAGAAAGCACTTACCTGGTTTAGCTGCAGCCATGGCTTTGGCTGGCGTGCTCAAGGTGCTCATGAGGTTACACAGAGAGGACCCACTACTGCTGACTTTCTGAATGTCTGTACTTTTTGAACTCCACTCTTCCTGTAATTTCTTGAAATAAGAAAAGTCTTCTTAATATTCTCAGAGTTGCACATTATAACTTAGGTTCTTAAACATATCTTGAAGTGGCAATGGCTGAGCTCTGATCTGTGGGCCCAGGCGACTGTTAGCCAGGCTAGCAGGGAGGGCGAGGGCGGGGCCCATTCTGCATTCTGCTCCCAGCTAGGCAGATGTAGGGCTCTGCCTGCAGTCATGGGTTCTGAAGTAACTGTTAACTGTAAGTTCGTAGGACTGTCCACTGGGGTGATATCTGTATGACTGTAAACTACATCTGTCCTAAAATGAGATGTGCCCCAAACAATAAAACTAAACATGTGGAAATCAAAATTGCATCGGAAAGTTATTTATTTTTTAGTGCCAGTCCTAGAGCTTGAACTCAGGGTCTGGCTGATGTCCCTGAGGTGTTTTGCTCAAGGCTCTATCACTTGAGCCACAGCTCCACTTCCAAGAGTCTCACAACTGTCCTGCTTGGGCTGATTTCAAACGTCAATCCTCCAATCTCAGCCTCTTGAGTAACTAGGATTATGGGCGTGAGCCACCAGCAACCGGCTGAAAGTGAGTTTTCATCATCCAGATTTCAATCAATTTTCAAATCCTCCAATGTTAAACATTTAGAGAGGAAAATCTGTCATAACTAGTCATAGCTTTTATAACTTGAGCATTATTTGTGCAAGAGACTCAACTTCCATCTTCAAGTACTGGCTAAGGGGATAGATCCAAGCTAGAGTCAAATTCTTTGGTGAAGGGGAGGAGTGGTATAAGAAGTGACTCCAAGTACAGATCTGGTAAGGAGGGAGACATCAAAGGCAGACCACAACTCAGTTCACATATCTACTAAAAAGTCAAATTAACTGAAAGTTTAGATCCTTCCTCAAAGGATCAATTAAATATCATAGCTTCCAAAAGTCATCAAAGCCTATAGAGAAGACCTAACTTTGTGATTCTAGATGAAAGGAAGCTACCTTGCATTATAACACAGGCAGACATAAAATACAAGTCACCTGAGTTTCTTCCAGAGATCTTTCTAAATCCTCAGCACCCAGGGAAGGCTGCACTCCAGGAACTTTCTCTGTTGTTTCTTTTATCCACGACTTCAGTGTTTTAACAAGGACTTGGAAAGCCTCTAGCTGTTCTTGACAAGAAGTTAGAACTTGTTTTCTAGTTCAAAAAAAAATCACACCAGAATTTAAGCTGAAAAAGGAGAGGCTCTACAAAATGAATCACACAACCCTAAGTGAACGCTGCCATGCTGGGCTTCCATTACACTCGCCTCCTTTGGGCACTCGCTGGTGGCAGTGAAGTGGGCTAGATTCCTGCCTCTTCCTTGAGTGGCACTCAGGGATAAGAGAGAATCCTGAGTGCAACAGCCCTCTCTGCCACGGAGACTCAAGGGCTATTTAAGGTTTTACCACTGTTGGGTTCCATGACCTTGATGTATTCACTTCATCTGGTGCTTACTGCCCACAGGCAAACCAGAAGAGAAAATGTACATACTTCCCACACATAAGGCCACCTACTGGTTTCTATATGATTCTACAGTCAATGGATGTGCCAACTTATGGCTTTGGTGAGATGAAGGCAATGAAACCTGGTGACTGGAGGGAATCACACTTTTAAGGGGTGCCTCTGCCACAGAGACTCAGGGCCCGGAGTGACCTATGTGGATCTCTCTGCATACTCAGCACCTTCAGAGCCCACGGGAACTGGGAGGATGGGACACTAGCATGTGGACGATGCACACATGTGTGCAGCTTGCAGAACTCTGGAGCTGAGAATGCACCGCAGCAGGGTTAATCACCGGTGACTACTTGGTTTTAAAAGTAGACACAATCAAAGGAATAAACAACCCAGAGATTCCCTAAGAAAACCAGTTCTTCCATGCAAGGTGAATTATCACATGACAGCTTCACATGCAGTAGTATCAACACCGCCTACAACATTACATGGAGAACTGGAAGAAATAAAGGGAAGAGAGATGGCAAACTCCTACTTTGGGGAGCCCTGCATATTAAATTCAGCAAAATCAGATGTAAATTCTCAACTGGACATTCGAAAAGGCACGTTCAGAGCCAGCCTTCTCCTGCACTGTAATTAGTTCATGGCAGGGCCACCGTCTTGATTCTTAGCTCGATCTGTAGTGGACTCATGCATGGCTCATCTTTAAACAATATAATGTTCTAGATTAAAAGGCCACCAAGAACTATATTGAAACTGTGCATAGCTTCTGAACTGAAGCCAGAAAGTATAGAACTTTTGTCTTTGCAAATAAAAAGGTGAGATTTGCAAGGGCTGGGAAGATACCAGTCATTTTCAGTCATACACCACCACCATTTTTCTTGCATAATGCTCACTAGTTTTATGGAAGAAACATTGAGTCTTTCTCCTAAATAGTTGAACAAATAACACACATGGTCTGGAGAACAATAAAAATGCAGCAACACACAAATAGCTCTATACTTGTTCTCAAGTGTTCAAAACTGTTTCCATTTTCAACCTTACTAAAAAAAAAAAAAAAAGCAGCTCACCTGAATCAAGAAAAAGGAAACAGAGTTTTAAGTAGAACTTACTTTTCTTTGATGGCATCTTCCATTTCTTTGAATTTCTTGGACAAGTTATTTGTCTTTTCAAAAACGAGCGCTTTATCTCCCGGTAAGCCATGGCTGCATATCTCCTTCAGGAGACCATGCAGAGCTTCAAGATCCTTCTTGCGTTCTAAGAGTTCAGAAGTTGATTCCTATGAAGCATTTAGATAGTTAGTCATCTAGATCGTCAAGCAGCTCTCCACCCTAGGGTGTGCTGGGACCACAATGGTTCCACTCAGAATTTCACAAGAGAATGCATCAATTCATGTTCAGAATACTAATGCTTTAAACATAGCATGAAAAAGAACACAGTAAACTTTTTTAAAGTTTCTGAAGTATTTGTTCTCTCCACTTCCTATCTCTGTGGTTTCTGGCATTTAAGATGTCCATATCCTTTATATCTTGAGGGATAAATGGCATTCCACTTGAGGATAGAATCAACAGATGTTTTTAGCAGAAAGGTTTGAGGGATTTTTGCAGTTCTGTGGCTTGAACAGGGTCACACACTTGATGGGCAAGCTCTACCACTTGAGTTATATTCCTAGACTCTTGGTTTTTGTCTTTGAGATAGGTTCTTATAACCTTGCCTGGACTGGTCTTGAACTCACAACCCTCCTGCCTTAGCTTCCCAAGCCAATGGCATTATACATATTTTTTTAAAGAAGAAACTAGCCATCTTTACTAATCCATAACCAATTCAAATGGAAATTGGTAAATTATAATCCTGCCAATAAATGCATCTGTTTGGCGCCTCACAGGCACCAAGAAGACTTACCTGCATGTGCTGAGACAGCTCTGAAACATCTTTCCCTGGCACATCTACCTCACTGAGGGCCTGAGCTTTTGTTTCTAGGAATGTTTGGAGCTTCTCTGAGAGGTTCTCGAACAGTTCTACTTTGGTTTTCAACTCCTCCATTTTGGCGAGTTTTTCTTGGTGCTTATGCCTGGCTTCTGAAAACCTGGCAGATAGGTCCTTCATTTTTGCCTGCAGTGAGGAAGCAGTGGAGGGATCTGTGGTCTCCATGAATGTCTTCACCTTCTCATTCATGGCATTTACACTGCTCTGACGCCCTGCGATGTCCTGCTCCAGCATCTGAAATAAACCAGATATTGGGAATGCTTTGTGATGATGGTTACTAAGGCCAAGCATGAAACCTTTCAAGTGACCACCTGTAATGACATCAGCTTGGACAGGCGGTGACTGAGACAGTGAATGGACAGAATGGAACAACAGGTCTGGTCTGTCCCTGGGGAATCGCAGCCCTGCATCTTCACAGGCACATGGAGGGCAGCTGGCTGGCATGAGGAAGAGTCAAGAGCTGCTCTGTGAGCCTGGGGGTAGCCATGCGCCTTGGTTTCAGAAGGCTAGACAAGACCGAGCTGACGAGCCTCACGTGTAGTGAACAGAGGCAGGGAAACACCAGGTACAATTCAATTCTTTCTAAGCCCTCATTTGTAAGAAATAATATTCATGAAAAATAGCCAAATTCTTTGATCAACTCTATCACAGAGAAATAATTCATTTGATACATTTGAGCTCATGTGCATATTACATTTCACCCTGTTACACGTCGGTAACATCGGCCCTCCCTTAGAGACAGATGACTGTTTTCATAAAACTGTAAGTGGGAGTTACTGTCTTTTAAAATGTCACTCACGATGTTCTTCGTGATGAGCTCCTGGAGGGCTGCGGTGTTCAAGGGTGCCGGGCCCAGGTCAGCCAGTGACCTCTCCACGCTTCCCATCCAGTCCAGCATCTCATCGAGACCGTCCTGCACACTCAGCGAGCGCGTCAGTGTGATCTGCAGTCTTTCGTTTCGTTCGTTCACAGACCTGGACAGATCGTCATATCTCCCGACGATGTCGTCTAGTTCAGACAGAACAGGAAACATCAGCCACACGGGCATCCCACCCCTTCCCTTCCAAGCACACCAAGGGAGTGAGGAAATTTCCATGCATAAATTAGAAAAGGAAAACCGGTTTGAATGGTAAATTCATAATACACACCAATCATCCAAAACCTTACAAAATAAAAAATGAAAATAATCTAATAGGAACCAAAAAGCTGAAATTTTAAAATGCAAGTCAATGTGCACATGTACACATATTTTTGTAAAGAGATTTTAGATGCTTAAACATTTAGGTTATTCCACAGATGAAGTAGTCCAAACAGGAAACTTCCGGAATAAATAGTAGTTCTCAATATGGTATTTTGAACTAGAAATACTTATTATTAAGTATTTATGGGAAAAAGTGGCAGTCATATGCAACTATTCTCAAGACAACATACAAGTCTAAAGATTTATTAACTTGCCTTTATGTATAAATGTCACACACATTCACTAAGCTTTTGTTACCCTTTCTAACCAAAGAAAGTACTCAAGTTCACAGAAACTGACAACGCAAAAGAATTAAGAAACTAGGTGGACCATGAAAATCTACTTCAAACTAAGATTATGCTTCTAAAATGGACAGAAACAGAATTTACTTCAAAGTCTGACTGACTTAACAGCCTAGCCTATCTCCTGAGATTAACTTCATTTTGAGTTCTAATGATTTAATAAAAATAACCAATCAACAACAGCAAAACAAAAGCTGAACAAGGAGCCAAATGACCCCCCAGGTTGAGCTCTACACTCTGACAGGCGCAGCTGTGGGCCAGCTGCCTACAACAGAGGTGTCACCTGCCACACAGTCTCACGGCACCCCCGAGTTCTGCGCTGCTGTGCTGTATCATTAGAACAGACATGATGTGACCACAGATTAGGACACACATGTAAATTAAAAATACATGCACATTGGGCTGGGAAGGTGACTCAGTGGTAGAGTGCTTGCCTTGCATGCATGAGGCCCTGGGTTCGATTCCTTAGCACCACATAAGCAAAAAAAGCCGGAAGTGGTACTGTGGCTCAAGTGGTAGAGCACTAGCCTTGAGCTGAAGAGCTGAGGGACAGTGCCCAGGCCCAGAGTTCAGGCCCCACAACAGACCGAAAAAAAAAAAATACATGCACATTTACAGAACAGCTGAAATTATTTCCTGATAGCACACATGATCTAAAAAGCCTGGATGTCTATAAGAATGGAAGTGTCCCTATTGCACAGTGGGAGCAGCTTGAGAACAGTTCCCTCCCATGTCCACCAACTCTCCACTCAGACCTTAACTCACTGCTAATCTGCAGTGGTGCATATGTCTGATATCACACACTCCCACATTCCATGCTACCGTATCACAGCACGAGAGCACAAATAACCGAGTGTGTACTTCTGAACATTTCTCCATATTAGAATTTGTCTGTCTTACAGAAAGCAAAGGAACGTGGAGCCTTACCCAATGTTCTCTGGATGTCGTTCCTGGCTGGAAGCAAGACCCCTGCGGTGCCGAGAAGCGTGTCAGCAGTCTTCTTCAGCTTCTCTACCGCCACCTGCTGGCTGGAGATCTGTCCTTGCAGAGCCTGTGGGATTCAGTGCTTCAAGGTCAGACTCGGGGGGGGGGGGGGGGGGGACTCAATACCAGATTTCCAGTCAGAAAAATGACTGACAGTACACTCAAGTTAGCTTGTACAGAGCAGACTTTATACTGCACAAGCTTTCCTCATGATACATTGACTCTGGAATTGTTAGACTAAGGTCATGTAATGCAGCACCAGCAGGCTGAGTGACCACTCTCAAAACAGACTGCAGAGTACATGTTCAAAACAACTTCTCCCCCAACACCTACTTCTAAGTTTTCTTTGTACCACCACCACCAAAACAAAACAAAGCAAAATGAAACCAAGCATATCAAACATCTTTGGGATGGATCTGCACTCTGGGCAGGAGCTCATGAAGGCCTCTCATACCACTGGGTTCTAATTTAAAACAGAGTCATAGGTACTTCTGTTATTTCAGAAGAAGTTACTGACTGTGTAACTCAGGAGCATATACACAGCAATCTCTGGTCTAAGGCAGGAGGTGACAATGCCAAAGGTGAGAGGGCAGAGTGTTCCTGGCAGCTGAGAGGGAGAGTGATGGGGGAGGGGGAGCAGAGGGGAGGACAGGACAGAAAGAAAAAGAGGGAGAAGGGGGAGGAGACAGTGTGTAGGTCCTGAGTTCAAGCCCTAGGACAGGCAAAAAAGCAGGGGGCAGGGGTGGCTAACAGAGAAAGAGGAGCCTGTCCTTGCTGCATGGAGGCCCTGCAGGTCTGGAGCAGAGGCAGTTCCCAGGGAGGATGGGGAGACACCGGGGAGGGAGCCCCAGAGGCCCCTATGCTCCTAGCGCCCGCCTCGGCTGGTGGGCTCACAGGCAGCCATCCTGAGAGGAACAGGGCCTCCATCCAGAGCCACCCTTGGAGCTCAAGGTCCCACTGTGAATGAGCCATTGTTTCCTGAATGTTTCCACCTGGGTGCAAACAGTAAACCTTAAAACTCAAGAAAGCTAAACATAATCTCCATCCCTTCTCCATGCCTCCTCCTCCAGGGAGACGGACACAGAGGACTTCCAAGTCTAAACCAGATTCCCCTTTCAACCCTTCCTTTCCACATGCAAAGCAACCATTTAGTCAGGACAGTCTACCTGCTTAACCCTGTGGTGTTTCCAAAGTCAGACCTGGCTCTACTTCTGGATCTCTGCAGGACAGCCCCTCCTGTGGATACTAAGGAGGAGTCCTAACTCCCCCCACCCCCATCTTCTATGGTTTCCTTAACCTCTCAGTCCCTTCCTCAGTCAACATCTCTCCATAGATCCCTTCTTAATGAAGGCTGGAGCAGGTAGAAAGGCCCAGGGAGAGACCCCCCCCCCCTTCTTCTATCTTCAGTCTTACCTTTCTCCACTCCCTGTTCTAGAAATGCCAGCCGACTTACTCAAAAACCACTGACTATATGGACTGGTAGCTCTAGCCTGTAATCCTGCCTACTGGAGACAGGGCTGGGAGGATCATGGTTTGAAGCTGTCCTGGGAAATGGACAAGACTCCATGCATCAATGGCTGGGTGGAGTGGCATGCGCCTGCCACGCCAGCAATGTGAGGAAGCATGAATAGGAGGAATGTAGTCCAGAAGGCCTGGCATAAAGGGAGGCGCTATCTCAAACAACAACCAACAAAAGAGGGGCCAGCAAGAGTGGCTTGAGTGAATGTCTAGGTAGCTTGAGGCCCTAAGTTCACCCCTGGTACTATTACAAAAGAGAAAAAAAAAACGATTGGTCATGTTGATTAGAAGTTTAAAATACCATGTAAGTTCAAAAACCAGAAGAAATGTTCTCTGCCACTCCTGTGATGGCTGAGACTCCCCAGCCAGGGAGCCTGCCCTCCAGCTTGTGCTCCTGGAGGCAGCAGGTGTGCTGGAGCTGTAACTGCAGCTTGATCTGTGCATCACAGGAAGCGCACAGGGGCCCCGACCCGAGCCCCCAAAGGCTGAATGTACAGTGACACACCTCCCCTTTTCTATGTCCATTCTTGTACTATTCTACTTTGGGTCAAGTAATGGTCTAGGTACTTGAAAAACAGCAATACTCAAAACAGACAAAAATACCTGCTGTGGACCTTAATTCTAACGGGGGAAGGGAAAGGACAATGACAATACTGGGAGTTAGGTAATACACCACTAAGTAAGAAAGAGTTAATGGATGTGAGAAACAGACCTCCTGGGGGAAGCAGTGTTCCCCCATGGGTAAAACTTCATGGGATTAGAGGACTAGAACACTGGATTTCTTGTTTCTCTCTCCCCTTCTTTTTTACCTTGGTCTCTTCTAGCTGCCTTTGTAGATTTTTGGGGTCCACAGCAATAGGTTCACAGAGATGTTTGCTTGCGGCAGCCTCACAGGCCTGGAGCCCAGAAAGAAGTCCACAGGAAGCATCTTCGTAGTGCTGATATTTATCCACCAGGTCTTTAAGGTTATTTCCAAGGACACTACACTAAAATGCAATAGCAAGATGGAAGGAAAGGAAATCAAAACCCACTCTTGCCTTGGGTGTCAAATAACTCTGGGACTTAGGAAAATGTGAAACTTGGAGAAAGCAGACTAACAGAAATTGTAGGGCTATAACCTTTCTCCTTTATGTGAAGAAGTCCAAATGCAACCATAAAAATGAGGAGATAGTTGTAGACAGTTCTAGAATTCACCAATTCAAAACCAAACCAAGAATCACCAAAGCATACTGATGTTCAGGCACTGTCGCTAGCCTTGCCCACCTGTGCCTGCACACGTAGTGCAGAGATCTGAAAGGTGCTAGGGAACAACCTTCCGGTGCTACATACAGGCTGATCGACAGAGGGAGAGGCAATAGTTTATGCTTAAATGGCAAAAAAGGAGGAGTCAGAGGCTGGATGGGGATTAAGTCTGTGAAGCTTGAATTCCAAATAGGAAATACATCCTTATGTTCAGCGCTCTTCCTTGCTCCACAGAATTAAGAGAAGCAAAATAGTCTGTCACAATGAAAATAACATACTATCAGACATGAGAATCATCTCACAGGAAACCTCAGTTCCCAAGCCAGGAGGCTGCCAGCTCTTCTTCTGGCTTAGCATTAAGACACAAATGCCACCTGGTGGTTAAACTGGATACTGAATAGTTTTTAAGCTAAGGTTTTCCGGAAATCATTCTCAAGTCAACGTTGTTAAGCTAAACATTAACGAAGATTAAATTCCTAATCTTCGAACCCAGTTTGAAGGAAATCAGAGGAAACCACTGTTTTTCTCCATCTATATTTTTAGGTCTTCTGCTTCTAAGCCCAAAACAAATTAAAATCACAGATTGACTTGTCCTTAAAAATGACCATCCCATTACCTTGGTGTAGAGGGACCGGAAGCGGTCGGTGGCCTGGTCCAGCTTGCTCTGCACCTCCCTGTGGGCAGCAGAGGTGTCGACGCTGCCCTGGTCTCCCCGACCACAGGACCTGGCAGCTTCCAAGGCCCTGTTTCCTGACATGGTGATGTACCTCAAGTCGCCTTTGTGAGCAATCACATCTTCAGAGAAACTCTTCTGCCTCTTCAGCTTGGCCATCAAACCACTGAAGTCGTCCGCCCCAGCCTCCAGGTTCTCCAGCTCCTGTTCCGACTGCTCCAGCCAGTGCTCAAACTCACTGTGGTCCGCCTCAAACTTCCCCAGCTCTTCCTGCAGAGAGTGCGCCAGCTTCACCCTCCTCTCTGCCTCGGTCAACGCCGTCTCGTAATGAGCTTTCAGGGCTTTCATGTTTTGCTGCAGCTTCTTCCTCTCCTCAGGGGCCAGGAGATGGCCCTGCCTCTCAAGAAGTGACTGTGCAGACTGCGTGGCAATGATGACAGCTTGGTGCTGAGCCACAAGCTTCTCATGCTGGGCCTGCATGGAGACAGAGCGGCTGGGAGCCCTATGCCCCTGCTCGCAGGCCTCAGCCCATGGTGACTCCTGCACAGGGCTTTTAAAACGAGCCTTAACACCCACTTTCTTAACTGCCACTTTCAAGCTATAGGAACATCCTGTGATAGCTGGACAAGAGCAATGTATACGGAAGCCTGAAAGAAGCTATGGGAACAGACTGAAGGGATGCTGAGCCTGCGTACACCCACTGCACTCTACTCCTCCATGGAGATGCTGCCTGCCCACCCCAGCAGCCACGTACGAGGAGCGCTTCCCACAGAGCTGGCCACGGGCGGGCAGGTGTGACACGGAGCTCACAGATGCATGGATACTGAGTGCCTCAACATCAGGGCTTCGGGGACCCTTGGGGGCTGAACCTTCTCCCATGGGCCACACAAGTGCAGCAAAACCACACTATCCTGGGCAATTCTGGACATCTTATCCCAGCTTATCTGCAGGAACCTGACCCCCTTCCTTCCTCCAATCTGCTGGTCTGCCCCTCACCTGGGAGCTCACCTGAGGACCCTCCTCTCCTCCCATGTGTCTGGTAACCACCCTTATATCAGATGCCACTGGGAAAAACTCCATCTCCATGAAGTCTCTGTACAAACCTCATCTCCACAGGTTCAATCCACCCTCCAGCCCTCACCACTCAATCCACAGCTCATCCACGCTCCACCCTCACCACGCCATCCACAGATCATCCACCCCCCCAGCCCTCACCATGCCATCCACAGATCATCCACGCTACACCCTCACCACACCATCCACAGATCATCCACAGCTCATCCACGCTCCACCCTCACCACGCTATCCACAGATCATCCACCCTCCAGCCCTCACCACACCATCCACAGATCATCCACACTCCACCCTCACCATGCCATCCACAGATCATCCACCCTCCACCCTCACCACGCCATCCACAGATCATCCACCCTCCACCCTCACCACTCCATCCACAGCTCATCCATGCTCCACCCTCACCACTCTACCCACAGATCATCCACAGCTCATCCACGCTCCACCTCACCACGCCATCCACAGATCATCCACAGCTCATCCACGCTCCACCCTCACCACGCCATCCACAGATCATCCACCCCCCCAGCCCTCACCACGCCATCCACAGATCATCCACCCCCCAGCCCTCACCACGCCATCCACAGATCATCCACCCTCCACCCTCACCACGCCATCCACAGATCATCCACCCTCCACCCTCACCACGCCATTTCCACAGCTCATCCACGCTCCACCCTCACCACGCCATCCACAGATCATCCACCCCCCCAGCCCTCACCACGCCATCCACAGATCATCCACCCCCCAGCCCTCACCACACCATCCACAGATCATCCACCCTCCACCCTCACCACGCCATCCACAGATCATCCACCCTCCACCCTCACCACACCATCCACAGCTCATCCACGCTCCACCCTCACCACGCCATCCACAGATCATCCACAGATCATCCACCCCCCCAGCCCTCACCACGCCATCCACAGATCATCCACACTCCACCCTCACCACGTCATCCACAGATCATCCATGCTCCACCCTCACCACGCCATCCACAGATCATCCACCCTCCACCCTCACCACTCCATCCACAGCTCATCCATGCTCCACCCTCACCACTCTACACAGATCATCCACAGCTCATCCACGCTCCACCTCACCACGCCATCCACAGATCATCCACAGCTCATCCACGCTCCACCCTCACCACGCCATCCACAGATCATCCACCCCCCCAGCCCTCACCACGCCATCCACAGATCATCCACCCCCCAGCCCTCACCACGCCATCCACAGATCATCCACCCTCCACCCTCACCACGCCATCCACAGATCATCCACCCTCCACCCTCACCACGCCATTCACAGCTCATCCATGCTCCACCCTCACCACTCTACCCACAGATCATCCACAGCTCATCCACGCTCCACCCTCACCACGCCATCCACAGATCATCCACCCTCCACCCTCACCACGCCATCCACAGATCATCCACCCCCCCAGCCCTCACCACGCCATCCACAGATCATCCACCCTCCACCCTCACCACGTCATCCACAGCTCATCCACACTCCACCCTCACCACGCCATCCACAGATCATCCACCCTCCACCCTCACCACTCCATCCACACCTCAGCCCTCACAACTCAATCCACACTCCAGCCCCCAGTGAAGAGTAACTCAGATGTGCTACTTTGGATCTGTGAGCTACAGTGGTCCTGTAAAGGGAAAAGAAAAGAAAGAACCTGGAAGGAAAATTGAGAGGACAAAGTAATTAAGGCAGAAAGCCAAGTGTGCCTGGCTCAAAGCCATTGCTCTGCAGGTGAACAGTTAGCTCTATCACTTTCTTATAACCCCTCTTCACCTGCACAGAGTGCTGAACCTAGTAATCTATCCCACACTATTAACGTGCTTAGAACACTCACATAATTTATATTAAGCATAATTATGAAGCTAGGAAGTAAGAACCTCCCCTCAGAGAGCGTGCGGGCTTGGCCTGTGTAGCCATGTCTATCTTTGCAGCCCTGGAACTCGAGGTTGGCACACTTGTATTGGATCAACTCACCTTGACCTTCTGGTACTGCTGGTCCAGAAGCTGCTCAGTGCCCACAACTTGCCCACTGGCATCGGTTCCAGTCAAGTTCCCATTGACTTCGTCCTCCTCTCCAACCTCTGACTTGCCATTCACTTCCTGAAAATGGGTCCCATTCTGCTGGATACCCTGGGTGTGTTCTGCCCCTGCCTTTTCAGAGTCCAACCAGTCCAGAAGGTTTTCGATTTTAATTTTGTTCTCTTCTAGCAGCCTAGCAGCTGCAACCTAGGCAGAGAAGGGGAACTTACAGATGTGGTTCAGGCCAATGTTCACACATTTCTAATGTCAGGACCTCAATAGTTTTAAAATATAAAAGCTGATAGACATGAGAAATCTAACACATTACAATTTAATCTTAAAGCAGCAGTTACTTTCAAGTCTTCACTACTCTTATAGATATAATCCCAGGTTGGATGCTGGTGGCTTACACCTGCTTAGGAGGTTGCAATTTGAGAATTATGGTTCAAAGCCAGCCTGGGAAGGGAAGTCCATGAGGCTCTTATCTCTAACTGCCAAAAAAAAAAAAAAACCTGAAAGTGAAGCTGTGGCACAAGTTGTAGAGTGCTAACTTTGAGAGAAAAAGCTCAGGGACATTGTCCAAGGCTCTGAGTTCAAGCCCAAGGACCAGAAAAAAAGAAAGCAATCCCAAATTTTAGTTTTAATGAAGGTGATCACGTTTCCCAAGTACAAGGTCTCACTTTTAAGTGATGCAAGGCCGATACCTCAAACCTTTTCTATTATTCATAACTAACCTTTGGAAACTCAGAATTCTAGTTCTCAGCACCCACCAATATCACCTAATAAAAATCACACCACAGTTGTGTTCATCAATCCTGACACACAACAGAGCACCAGAGCTGAGTGGGACCTTTTCTGTCTCCTCCTGGAGCGCCGTTGTCAGGACCTTGTCCAGCTCCTTCCTCGACTGCTCCGCCTTCACATGCAGCTGCTCACACTTGGCCTTCGCTTCACTCAGCTTCCGCTCAATCAGAGCCTTGTCTTCCTGGGACAGCTTCCCACCGCTCTCTTTTAGGAAGTTTTCTGTGTTTTTCACTATTTCTGCCAATGCCTGTGCACTTCCTTGCATATCTTTCTGTAATTCCTTGTAACACAAAAGGAAAAAAAATGTAATCATTACCTTCTGAACTCATCCAGACTTCAAACTCTTAAAGAAGGGCCAGGTGAGCCGGGCACTGGTGGCTCACGCCTGTAATCCTAGCTACTCAGGAGGCTGAGATCTGAGGATCTCCATTCAAAGCCACCCCGGGAAGCGAAGTCCATGAAACTCTTATCTCCAATAAACCACTAGAAAACGGGAAGTGGCCCTGTAGCTCAAGTAGTAGAGCGCTTGCCTTGAGCTGAAGAGCTGAGGGACAGTGCTCAGGCCCAGAGTTCAAGCCCCACTACCGACAAAAAAAAGAAGGGCTAGTTGAGCACATGCTCTCTGGAAAGGGCACTGAATGTGCTCACTTGTATCCATTTACTCAGTAACATTTAGTGCATTCGAAATCTTCACATTAAGCATAAGATTTTCAGGGTTAACCAGAGAGTAGTTTGTGAAACACTGAGGTATTTGGTGTACAATCTACACGAATCTTCATATGCCAGATTCTTTAATATAAGAATACTTTTGTATATGAGCACATTTATATAAGCACATTTATAAAGCTTGAAAATACAGAGCAATATTTATCATTTATTGTTTCTACGTATCAGCTCTGTCTATCTCAGGACAAAAAGAAAATAGTTCCCCAGTGAACTGACATACTTTTCTCCAAGTCACTAGCAATACTGAACATTTGCTTCCTCACTCTGGCTGCTGGGAGGCTCATGATTAGCATCTCTTCTCAGTAATGACAACTTTCTTCTGACTTGAGAGGAAATGTCCCTCTTTCTTCTTTTCTTGTAATATATTTCCCTTCTCTATAGTGTACTGTTTGAGTTGTAATGTTTCCTCTGTATTTCATTTTAGCCTCCTCAAAGTTTTCTGAGAAGGACTTTCCCTGAAAAGGAACCTCCTTATTGAGCCATTACTATGTGACCTTACCTGTGCAAGCAACTTAACTCTCAGTTCTTACAATAATGTAGCAATGCAAGTATAGCCAATAAGGAAACTGAGGCTCAAACTAAGATGATTGTGACAAACTCCACAGAGGTCTATGGTCTGAATCAAGAGCTATTGAGGTGGGAGGCTCTCTCCTGACAGCAAAATGGAGGTATTGCTGATGGGTGGTTTTGTAATTTTCTCGTTTTCCTTCACTAAAAGGACAGGAGGAGGAGCGAGACTGAAGACAAGGAAGAAGCTGAGCTTTCAATTGCCTATTTCTTCTGATTCACAAGCAAATACTTGGCTTTAAATGGACTCACCCCCCCACTCCCCCATCGGTCCTGAGCCTTGAACTCTGGGCCTAGGTGCTATCCCTAAGCTCCTTTTGCTCAATGCTAGCACTCTACCACTTAAGCTACAGATTAATTGAAGATAAGAATCTCATGGACTTTCCTGCCCAAGCTGGCTTCAAACCATGATCCTCAGATCTCAGTCTCCTAAGTAGCTAGGATTTCAGGTGTGAGCCACTGGTGCCCAGCTTGAACTCAAATTTTAATTCTTCACACAAGTTGTCTCCATTACCACACCTTCTGTACATCTCCTTTATCTGGTATCTAACAAAGCTCAAAGCTCACACATGGAGCAGGTATGCCTGCTTCTGACAATCTAAAATTACTGGTAGTTTGCAATGATCCTAACTGCCTTCCAGAGAACAATATCCAGCCACCAAGACAAAACAACTTCTACCTCTTGCTTGGACTGGTACTTCTTCAACTCTACTGTGCCATCTCCAGTCACGAAGGCTTCTTGGTGGCCGATCAGACGGTTTTCAGTTTGGGTGAGGAGGTCGCACACCCCCTGGAGTTTCTCTTTGTACTCCTGCTGACGCTCAGCCAACACCTAGAGTGAAGAAAATCCAAAACATCTTCAGAGTTTGATCCTCAAACCACCACGGTGACCACTTCATATTAATTCAGACACACATTTCAAACTTTCTCGACTAAGCTTCTAAGTATGCTGTAAACACGGTAGCTGGGCACGCACTGAGCCGGAGAGACAGAAAGGGCAAGCTGTCCCACGTGCACGCAGAGACCACGTGAGAGGAGCTGCTCTACAGAGCGCAGGCCATGCACGTGTGCGAGATCGAACTTCTGACCGAGAGAAGAGACAATCCATTTTCTTAAGCTCTTCAGACCTGCGACACACACAACTAATTCTGGAAAAGGACACCAAAAGAGAGTTAGCCACAGCTTGTCAGCTGACATACTTGATATGCATATACAGGTTATCAGGCTGAAGGTAATGCTTGGGCGCTTCTAGAAATAAGAAAAACACTGCATGCAATACTTTAGCTTAGTGACTGTCTAACTGCATTCTCACTTCTTTGCTTATTACTGCTCTACTTCATTATAGTCAATAGATAGTCATTAGATACCTTCTGAAAGATGAATTTAGCAAGTCAAAACTAATTTTTTCCATTTTCCATTTCTCTTTTATATGTACACCAATTATTCTTTTTCTTTTCTTTTGTCAGTTGTGGGGCTTGAACTCTGGGCCTAGGCACTGTCCCTCAGCACTTCAGCTCAAGGCAAGGGCTCTACCACTTGAGCCACAGGACTACTTTCGGTTTTCTGGTGGTTCATTGGAGAAAAAGAGTCTCACAGACCTTTCCTGCCTGGACTGGCTTTGAACCATGATCCTCAGATCTCAACCTCCCGAGTAGCTAGGAGTACAGGCATGAGCCACCAGTGCCCAGCCCGATTATTATTCTTATATAAATTCTCACAATAACACCAGATAAGCACAAGTCTTATTTCCAGAAACTGATCTGCTCTGTTCTGCCGTGACAAAGGCAGCTGGGCTGTGAGCCTGAGCAGCAGGGTTCTGAGTGGCTACACTGCATGCCCCCTGGTAAGTAGACTCCACACTTCCATTACCACACAGTTATCACTCCTGTCCTGGAAGTCACTGAGAGCATTCACCTCTCACTTTGTACGGTACAAATCAAGGATCTCACTACAATCATTCAAAGTAGGGAGTCATGGAAATTAGTCAACTGAATCAGGGCATCTTTACAAAAAGCAATACTGCCACACACTGTGAGATCACTGGGCTATATCCTGCATGCCTGCTTGTCCAGAAAACCTTCCTGTCACGCTCAAGTCCCTGCACTGAGGCGTGACAACAGAGAACTGCAATTTACGGTGGGGAGCAAACCTTCTGGTCGTCACGGTCCTGCTCTAGCTGTAACTGGGTCTCTAAGCTTTCCACCTGGGCCGCCACAGACTCCTGTGCGTTGAGAAAGCACTTCTGAGTGGCGTTCAGGAACCTCAGCAGCTGCCTGCTCTGGACGGGGGACAGATCCGGGGCACGCTCAGAGATGAAGAGCTGGACATCGAAGGCTGTCGCCTCCAGCTGAGCTTTGGTACGTTCCAGGTCTTTCATCACTGTCTGTGAATAGTTATCAATCGAGACACAGGTGTGAGAAAGTTAGCATTCACACTTCTCATGCTTACCAATTTAAAAAATAACTTCCTCTACCAATGTTTAATGATTAATAAAATTAATCAATAAGCTATTTATCAACTAGTAATCATAATTTAGATAGGATAATAACATATAAAAAGACAAGCCCTTCCAAGAATGGCCCTCTGTGTGCCTCACATACCACACGCAGGCTGCACCTCCGATGGGAGGAACTGCAGCTTCGGTAGCTCCTTTATCAGTGTGGGAGGAGATGTTGGCATTTCAGTGTCACTTGCTAACAGTGACAACATCCATTTAACTGAGCTGAGACAGAGCAGGACTATGGGGAAACTGGAGATGAACTAAAGAGGCCAGAATATCCTTTATGCCTTCATGTCCACGGGCATGTTGTTCAAACTAAGAAAGTTGAATAAAATTCATGCCAAAATCAACTACCATATAAATACTGTGTATTTATATTTTTTTCTTTTTTCCAGCCCTAGGGCTTGAACTCTGGGCCTGGGCTCTCTCCCTGAGCTTCTTTTTTGCTCAAGGCTAGTACTCTGCCACTTGAGCCACAGTACGACTTCCAGCTTTTTTAAGTGGTTTACTGGAGATAAGAGTCTCAAAACGAGCTTTACAAAGTCGGTGCGGGGGAGGGGGGGTGGGGGAGAAGGGAGGAAGGAGAAGGATTGGGATTGGGGGGGAGGGGGAGGCTGGGAAGGGATGTGAAGGGTAAACAAAGGAGGAGGATGCAATGCTTGGTAAGAAATGTACGCATTATCCTGCCCATGTAATTGTAACCCCTCTGTACAGTATGTTCACAAATAAAACAAAATTAAATTAAAAAAAAAAAAGAGTCTCATGAGTTTCCTGACTGGATTGGCTTGGAACCATGCTCCTCAGTTCTTAGCCTCTTGGGTGACTATGATTACAGGTGTTAGCCATCTGTGCCAAGCTCAATGTTATCTTTTTTCGGGACTACTTCACAGCTACGGTTACGTATATGCCTGACACATAAATAAGCATGTAAATACAAAGCTGACATGTCCGTGGTGATAAGAGGCCTCTAGGCACTTGGGATGGACGTGCTTCAGCAAGGCTGTGATATTTTACAGTTTTATCATCTCCAAACTAGCATCTCTTAGAGACAGAGAAAAGGCAGAACATTCTATAGCCGCCCTTGGAAAGCAATATTTGGTTCTATTTTGTTTTTAAATCCACGGGCTTTGTGATACACTGGTTGTGTTCATTTTGACACTTGCCTTCAGAAATGCCAAGCTTTTCTTCCCATGTTCGGTGTCCCGGGCATCCACGGCCCCGATGGCCCGTGCAGCGCCACTCCTCTCTGACACCCAGTGTGAGAAGGACTGAAGTTTACGCAGGAAGTCTTCATGAGAAATGGCTAGTTTAGACTAGAAAATAAAATTGAGCATTCACGTCTGTCCACAAACTTTCAAAGTCCTACTGTAGCAGGAAGTAGATACCTAAATAGGCTCACAACTGTAGTTTTAGCCCAGTCACTACATTTGCTGAGCACGCTCTCTGTTAAGCAAGTTCTAAAAAGATGCTTTTTCATTCTCAATGTCTGGTCTTCCTCCCTGCCCTTTCCCCTTTGTGAGGTACTCAGGAACAATGTTGGGGGCTGGGAAGGTGGCTCAGTGGTAGAGTGCTCGCCTAGCATGCATGAAGCCCTGAGTTGGACTCCTCAGCACCACACACACAGAAAAGGCTGGAAGTGGTGCTGTGGCCCAAGTGGTAGAGTGCTAGCCTTGAGTAAAAAGCAGCTCAGGGACAGTGCCCGGGCCCCGAGTTCAAGTCCCAGGACTGGTTCCAGGAGGGGCCATACCCTGTGCCCCTCATCTCACTGACCACAATAATTAAAATTTTAAAAAAAAACTCTCCACCCTGGAGACAAAGACTCGATAGCAGTGCTGTGGTCCACACACATTTTACTTGATAAAATTAATAAACCTTTCCTTTTCTCCAAACTGTGTTCTTTTATTTATGAGCTGGCATTTCACTTAGGGACCAAATTTCCAGAAGTACTACAAATAAAGGCTTCATACTACAAAAATGAACTTCATCTTATGACTAAACTCTTAATAGCAATCAAATTTTATTCAAAATCTGCCCTTATGCCTACCATTTCAGAGTCAATCGCAAGCATGATATGCTGTATTCTTTCTGAGCACGCATTGCTGAGGGAAGTAAAGGTAGCCTGCAGCCTGTGGTGGCTGGCACTCAATTCCTCACAATGTCTTCTGGAAAAGTCACTGGGAAGAGACTTCAAGAATTCTTCTGCCAGCTTCAAATCTTTTCTTAAAAGCACAGCAATCGGAGCCAATCCTAATTCAAATGTCTGCAAAGAAACACAGCCCAGATCCATTTACTATTTCATGGGAAAAAATGTAAGTATAAAATAAATGAAAAGTGCTCTGCCTTTTCCAAATCTAATACCAGGAACACCATCTATAACTACCCATGCCATGGTTCCATCCTGGCTGAGTGTAGACACTGTGGGATCAGGGCCTACTGGGAGTCTTCAGATCCCTGGGGAGGGCTCTCCAAGTGCATTATGGGACTCTAGTCTCGGCTGCTCCTTGGCCACAGGTAAGTGGCTCTGCCTACCACTACACTGTGGTGCTACCACAGGCCCAAGAATAATGGGGGCCACTGGATTATGGACGGGAACCTCCAAAACCGTCAGTCCAAATAAGCCTTGTGTCTTTGTAAGTTGACTGTCTCAGGAAGCCACTGCACTGAAGGAGACCTGGCAGATACAGCAGCACAACTCTTACCTCCAGCTGTTTAAGTTGAATCTTTAAAGCTTCTAGATTGTTACCCACAGAATCCTGGTTGTCTAGTGGGGGGTTCAGATCTTGAAGCAAAGCCAGATACTCATGCATTTTTTCAGTGTGCTGCACACATTGCTGTAATTCACTGGAAAACTAAGAACAAATTTGCAGGTCACAATTCAATAGCCTTTATCAAAACATTTTTTTAAGCAAATAAAATGTGTGGGATTATTCCCTTGTAGTTCATGCAGGTACTTCCACACAAAGTGGGAAAGTCAACTTACTTTTCCCATTAAGCTGTCTCCGGAAGGCGTTTCTTTCAACCCAGAAGCACAATCCAAATGGTCTGATAAAACATCACGTGACACCTCCAGCCTCTTATCTCTTGGCAACGCTGAAACACACATGGGAGAATTTTCTAGCCCAGATTTTTTTATGGATGGTAAGGTAAGGAGACAGTCGTTTTCCTCTTTGAGTTTTAGGTCAGCGGGAAGGTGTGGCTCTTCTCCCCCCACTGCAGAGGGCGGGCATGTCTTTTGATTCATGTCTCCGAGCCCACCTCCTGTCACTGAAGGCCCAGCAGCCAGCCACCTGGAGAAAAGGCCTCCGAGTTCCAGGGGAGACACTCGGGGTGGA